TTTAAATGAAAATAAACAAAGCAGAAATTTGTTTTGTTTTTATCAATTTAATATTTTGTGCAATCAATATGTAACCAAACCACTAAAGGGGGTAAATTTGATTATTTCATACATTTAGGAAAGAGCAAACTAACACTAAGCTAAATCTTAGTGAGAAAAAATGAAAATTATCTTATTTGGATTTCACCTTAGAGACAAATCAAATTCAAATTAGAAGTTTAAAATACAAATAGACAATTTTATTTTTATTTTATTTTTTAACTTTTGCCTTTTTTTTTTTTTTCTAAAAAAGGCCATTTCATTGATATATCAAAATCCCACCAATTGTTTTAAACTAGACACATCCCATATGCAAAAAAGAAAATTAATAGACACTTTTAAATTAATCAAAATGTCTTGTTTTAAAAAATGGGCACCTTAACAAAAATTGTCTTTTTTTTTGGGATTAAATTAACATATTGTCTTTGTTGTTCTTATTTATTTATTTATTTTTTCTAGCATGGGAGGGGTGGGAACTATAATAGGTTCGACTTTGCACATGTTCTGAAGTATGAATGAAGAGCATCCGGACTAAGCTATCAATCAAAACAAAAAACCAACTCCATAAATTTGACAAATTCAAGCATTTTTGAATGGTTATCCCATTTTTTAATGGAAGAAAATTTCATTAACAGATTGTTAGAAATTATCCAGCATGATTTAATTTACATCACAGTTTTAATGGTAGGTTAAACATACACCAAAAATTACTACAATTTAATAGATATAACGATCTAACAAATTATCAATAGACCTGAAAAATATAATAATTTTCACAATTGTCTTCTAATAGATAAATCACCGCAACTCCTTTCTACTTGTATTGCAATCATCAAATCTATTAATCAACGTTTTTAAACTCCAATAACTATGTTGATGAGACGGCACCGGCATTTCTGCATTACTAACGTCAATTACACTGGTTTCAATTGCATCAAGCACTACGAATATAAATAGTAGTATTACAGTAGACGATTAAGACAGGGGTGTAAAGAAATACAACATTTTTTTTTTTCACTTGTCAAAGTTGTATCAATCTCATTCATTCAAATTCAAATTCAATTTATTGGTGAAAATTCCATCCCTAATACCGTGGTGCCAGTGGGAAATTGAACAACGGTCAAGAAAAGAAACTAGTAGGCATAATTTTGGTTCCACGTGACTTTCAGCAGTTGCCCTTTTTGAAACTTGTGGTTCAATCAGATTACAATGAATCAGTGGTGTTCTATGAACCGACCGGCGAAGGATTTGTGGCTGAGAAGCAATTCTATTTACCACCACAAAATTCGTCAGAGTCCTTTCCCGTGGGAAGATGCATAAGCAATTCGTGCTTCATGGAAAGGTGTTCAAAGGAGCCACGAAAATCCAGCCCTTCTCCATCCTTGTGTAAATTATGGAATGTGCCTAGCCCATGGTTGTTTTTTTGTGGGATGCCTGCAAATTGTACTATTGAGGATTATCCCCTAGTTGTGAACCTTTCTTGCCTACATAATAAAGAATAGTTTTGTTTTTGTTTTTTTAAAAAAATAGAAAAACGTTTTTAACATTTTATTAAGTGGGTTCAAGCTCTTTTTGGTTACCGAACTTAATCCAGTTGCAAACTCTGACAAACTAGTTAAAAAGTAGGAGGATTCTGATAAATAAGAAGAAGAAGACGAGCAAATTAATCTTCCTTCCAGTTGAGTATTATGTGAAACTTTTACACGACATGCTAATTTCCCATGCAACCCATTTGATCTTTTACTGCACCGTAAGGACAATTGTGCATGATCAATTCAAGTTGCCTCAAAGTCTTGGTTAACAATCTTCCTTAGTACTTGATAGAAGGCATGATATGATGATATAAAGAAAGAGAACTAGTCAAAGAGATTAAGACTTTTGGTTTTATTTATTTAAAAGAGTAAGAGACGTCAAATTTTTAATTTCCACAATGAACTTTCAAACAGGTTGGACACTTTGATTTCTCAATTGTGCTAAATTCCATTCATGTGACCAAAACATCATGTTTGTAAAGTCTGACATGCAATGCATCAAAAACCATCAAATTGTTGTGAAGATCGTGTCTGAAATAATTGTTGAAGATCGTGTCATTTCAAAAGCTAAAATTTAAATTAATGATTCCTGCTAGTGTTAAGAACAAAAGTTTGATTCTTATATGCGGATTTTTGTTCTTTTTTTTTTTTTCCTAATACTTCCTTCCGTCGTAGCCCCCTCTTGCTAGCTTTATTAAGGAAAAGCCTTATATGCTTTGCATTGACCGTAGAGCATCCAGGCCTTATTGCTAGGGATGTTCATGGATTGGGTAACCAGTTTATTTGCAATTTCACTGAAAGCGGTTCAGTGAAATTGCATTCCATATTCTAACCCTATTTAATCAGTTAACTGCTAATTTATTAACTTGTAAGATGGTGTTGGGTAAATAGGGTAATCTAGCCTTCTTGTACTTATAGAGAAAAAGAAAAATGAAATTAGATTAACAAAGAAAACAATACAGCAATTATCCAAATTAATAAGAGTGTTTAATCCTACAACTCTAGAAAAACTACCAATAAAATAGAAAATCAGAACACAATAGATAATTAAAACATAAAATATTCTAAACATTTGTTTTTGTTTTCTCTACTTCTTGAAAATTATTAACTCTTTTTTCATTAAGAATGAGGGTTACTTCACAGCCAAATATGTAAGTTCTAAAAATTAAAAACAAAATAAGTAGAGTGGTAAAGTGGATAAAATTTATGAGGAAGAAAAAGAAATTTTAAAGAAAGACAAAAGATAGAGTAGTAGAGTAAATGAAATCAGTGGTAATAAATATAGGAATTGGAAAAAATAAATCGAAGATCAAGTTAAATATACAAGTTTATAAGTTGTGAAAAATAAAATTTACAGTGGCATGGGTCTCGTAACTTAAATTATTAGTAAATGATTAAGTAATTATGGATTGAGATTTGGATATTAATTATCTTAATCAACCTTACACACACGCGGGTGGGTTCGGATAATCGCAGTTTTTGAAAATTGAAAATCATACCTTAACCTAATTTTTCAAGTAGGGAACCAGCTAACCTTATTATTTTGAAAATTATGAGTTAGTTATCCTATTTTTCTGTTTGGACCAATCTGGCTTTCTTGATTACTTGCCTTTTCAATTCTTTTTTAACACCCCTACTTATTGCTGCTTTTTCATCAATTTTATAGAAATAAAAGGTAGAAAATTGATGCCTATGCGTCTAAAAAACTTTCCATTCACATCATTATCTATTAATTGCTCAAACATTACCCAAATAAAAACTCGCTTTGCACATCCATATCTTCATCAACTATATAATTATGAAAATAATTGCTCTGACCATTTTGTTAAGTGAAGATCTCATAAAGAGTGTTTCACACTTCAAGGTTGTACATTGTTGGATCTTCACCTAAAGCATTTTCGTCCCTCACAAATTCAAAATAGAACAAATGATTTCATTCCAATATTCTTTTCGTTTTGGGAACAAAATGAAAACAAAAATGGACCATTTTGGTTTCTAAACACACTTCTGGCTCTTAATTAGATTAGAAACTCATGCGACAAAACCATTAACTCTTAATTTTTACCAATTCCCCTCGCAAAAAAGAAATATTTAACCTAACCCAATTCAAAATAATTAGGGTCCATGTTGGGGCTCGATTGAGGAAGATCAACTGAGAGAGATGGGCTCATTCGCCGTGGCCACTAAAAAATGTTGGTGCAGCAAAGAATCATGAAGATTCATGGCTTGTAGAAAGCCCAATAAAGAAGTTCTATGGCTGCTCGTATTATGAAATAAGTTTTCCATGACAGTAAGAACATACACGATTGAAAGAAGTTTAACATGATCCCTAACAAGAGATGGACTCCATATTAATTGAACAACAAATGTGCACTAGTGGGAAGAAAGCATAAGCTTGAAGAGTACTGCATGGACTTACCCTTTAATTTTTGGTTTATTCTATTGATTTTGTTTTGTTCTATTTTAGTTTCATTTTTTTTTTGTTGATGATGAACATTTAAAGCATAACGCAGCAAGGTGTGAAATGTGCAACTGATTAAGGCGGCTGGCTAACTCAGGGGACTATCGAGGAATGTGAAAAACATGGACCGGCCAAGATTGAAGGAAGTAGTAGCAAAGAGGGAATGCAGAAGATGTACATGCTTTTGGTTGTCCAAGTGATATTACATACGCAGGAGATGTCCAAACAGTAAATAGGATTGACCATTGTTGGATGGAATCCTCTTGCATCGTACTCAGTCACACCCTATTGAGGAATGTGAAAAACATGGACCGGCCAAGATTGAAGGAAGTAGTAGCAAAGAGGGAATGCAGAAGATGTACATGCTTTTGGTTGTCCAAGTGATATTACATACGCAGGAGATGTCCAAACAGTAAATAGGATTGACCATTGTTGGATGGAATCCTCTTGCATCGTACTCAGTCACACCCTATTGAGGAATGTGAAAAACATGGACCGGCCAAGATTGAAGGAAGTAGTAGCAAAGAGGGAATGCAGAAGATGTACATGCTTTTGGTTGTCCGAGTGATATTACATACGCAGGAGATGTCCAACACAGTAAATAGGATTGATTAATGAAGATGCTAGATTTTAAGGCCTCATTTTGTATGTGTGGAACAAAAAATGTACAATTTCAAAATGCAAGCCAGAATTTGTGGGATTTTCCTTTCTCATTGATAAAATTCAATCTTTTTCTGGACCATTGTTGGATGGAATCCTCTTAAATCGTACTTAGTCAAACCCAATTCTTCCGAGTCAAACTTGGATACCAGTCATTTTTCTATAAAAGCACCCCCATGTCCAATTTTTATAGACCACAGACAATATTAACAACTCTGACACATTTGTTCATGCAATCACAGGTATCAATCCAACAAATTATACCTGAAATCATCACTTTTACGTCCAAACCTTCTCTGGCAGTAACCATGGAACTTTCCTCAATCTTGTGGAGTCTATTCTCAATGCTCATTCCAATGTTGTTGTCAAGCCTAATTAGACAGAAAAAATCCAACCCTCCTTCCCCTTTACCTCCAGGTCCAAAGTCCTTGCCTTTTGTGGGATGCATTTTCCAAATGCTAAGAAACAGACCAACATTTGAGTGGATGCACAAAATCATGCATGAGATGAACACCGAAATCGCTTGTTTTCGTCTTGGTGGCATTCATGTCATTCCAGTCACTTCTCCTGAAATAGCTCGTGAGTTTCTCAAGAAGCAAGACTCAATTTTCTCCAGCAGGCCTGTTTGCATGTCTGCAGAACTTCGCAGCAGCAAATACCTATCGGCAGTTCTTTCTCCTTCAGGCAATCAACAGAAGAAAATGAAGAAAATTGTCATTTCCAGCGTGCTTTCGCCTGCTAAACACCGTTGGCTTCATGGCAAACGCATCAAAGAAGCTGATCATTTAGTTAATTACATACTCAATCAATGCAATAATTCTTTGACCGGTGGCGAAGTGAACATAAGAATTGCTGCAAGGCATTACTGCAGGAATGTCACGCGGAGGATGTTTTTCGACAAAAGATTCTTCGGGAGAGGTACGGAAGATGGAGGACCAGGGACTGAGGAAGTAGAGCATGTTGAAGCACTCTTCACAATTCTTGATCATTTGTTTGCGTTCAGTTTATCAGATTATGTTCCATGGATGAGGAGTTTTGATATGGATGGCCACGAAAAAATCCTTAGCATGGCTGTTGGAAGTGTGAGAAAGCACCAAGATCCTGAAATTGATAGAAGGATTGAAATGTGGAAGAATGGCTTGAAGAAGGAAGAGGAAGACCTTTTGGACGTCCTGATCATGCTTAGAGATGGAACTGGTAGGCCATTGCTGACAACTGAAGAGATCAAAGCACAAATTATGGTAAAGACAAACCCTATTCTCCATATTCTAAACATTAATTAGTCATAAGGTAGCAATTCTCAAATTATGATAGTTTTTGAAATGAATCTTCAATGAATACGTTTTCTAAACAACATATTTACTTAATGCATTTTTTGAGAAATAAATGCCTAAACCAATCAATGAATCTATTTTGTAAATGTGTTTTTTAGTAAAATATTGCATTCACTAAACACATTTTTTCATCCTTTGTGTGGGAGTATAAAAAAATCATGCTTTGGGAATCGTATTGCAAATGTCTTACCTTTTGAGAGTTATAATTTCAAAAGTTGTAAGAGTTTCCAAATAATGAGAGTTCTGAAACAAATAAATACGTTGTCTTAAGGAAAAGATTCCTAAACAAGTAAAAGTACTTTTAAGAAAATAACTAATTAACTAAATGCATATTTTACCATTTGGGAAGAGGTTTGGAAAACACCACTTTTTGAGAATTGATATTTAAAAAGTTCCATCTTTTCAAAATTTACTCGAAATTGTTCACCATGTCCCATAATTTTCTGTATTGCTTTGAAGTTTCAATTATGTCACCAGTACATGGCATGAGAAAACATGTAGACGATCAATGTTTCCCTTACTAACTGATTTCAAACATAACTTTTACAGGAACTAATGTTAGCAGCAGTGGATAATCCCTCAAATGCTATCGAGTGGGTGCTAGCAGAGATGCTAAATCAACCCGAATTACTTCAGAAAGCCACACAAGAACTGGACACGGTGGTTGGAAGGGATAGACTGGTTCAGGAATTTGATCTCCCGCGGCTGAAATACATAAAAGCATGTATAAAAGAAGCCTTTCGACTCCACCCCATTTCGCCCTTTAATGTTCCTCACGTATCTACTCAAGACACCATTGTCGGAGGCTACTTCATCCCAAAAGGCAGTCATGTATTGCTAAGTCGTCTTGGACTTGGCCGAAACCCAAGAATTTGGGAGGACCCTCTCAAGTTCAAGCCTGAGCGTCACCTGGAGGATTTGGATGAATTGAAAGTGGATCTCAATAATCAAGAATTACACCTTTTGTCATTCGGCATTGGAAGGCGTGGATGTCCAGGAGTTCAGTTGGGTTCTACAATGTCTATCATGTTGCTAGCTAGGCTTCTTCACAGTTTTACTTGGGAAATTCCTAGAGGTCTTTCACGGATTGACTTAACTGAGTCACCTCTTTTTGCCATTGCTAAACCACGGTTAGCAATTTTATGACAACAATACGTGTGTATTATCAACGTCTTGCGGCTGGACATGCTACAACTCTCTGTTAAGGCTATTAGGTAGAAATTAAGAGTCGCATATTTGCAGTTATGCTTAGTGTCTTAGTGTAACAGTTGATGGTCGTAAGATATTAGTCAATTCTCTTCAAGGTTGAGCAATTATTATCATCTCATCTCTGCTCAACTAGCCTATTTTACATCATCCAGAATCATGTATCTTTATGTTCACGAAAAAAAAATAAAATAAAATGTGTATGTTTGAAGTTATGATTCCCACAATGCTTATGCTTTCATATTATCAAAATATAGAAGTTCTAATGTTTAAATGGGCTCATCCCATGTAGCCCAGGAGTAGGGTAGATCGTCACTTGAACCTAACGCTTTAAGGGTTGAGTCTTGGAGGGAGTTTACGTTGCTTATTAATTCAGCATAGGAGAAGCGAGATAACTTGTACTGTGTATCTTAAATGAACCTAACCCTCGTAGGGTAACTTCTGTGTATCCTGGCTAGAATTAAATGAAGTCTCTCTGTTATGTTTCAAGAGAAAGAATAGTACAGTAGAAGAGAGATAAGGCTCTTAAGTATTCTCCAAAGTATAAAACGAATAAAGTTGAGAACGAAATCTTTTTCTGTACAAGTATGTCAAGGAGTAGAGTTTGAATTGGATCCATTTTATCTAGACTCAGATCCATCGAATTTATTTGCACCAATATATTAAAATTGACTAAATTTTGCCTTCTGATTAATCATTAAAAATTTTGTTATATTTTTGATCCATTTTTCTCCGTTCAAATGTTTCGTGAAATTTGGACTCTAAAATATTCTCAAAATATTCATTTTTAGAATATTGATTTATAGATCAAAAGAAAAGTAATGATACAATCGAATGATTTTATATAATTATAGTAATTTTAATATAAATAAATGGAGAGAGAGCAATGGTGAGAATCCCAATTCCATCTAGAAAACGTGTTAGTAGTATCAAAGTGTAGGAAAGATAGACTGAGGATGGAAGGCCGGTGCCATTTGTGGAGAAACCCAAACTCCAATGGGTTGAAATTAGGTCACCAACCACCACCGCTTAATGCCTTTTTGCTTAGTTTGGGTTCTCACACTACACAGTAACCAAACTTTTCAACACTTTGAGAATTTTCTTTCATTTTCTATCAAGGTAGTTCTCGTGTACTTGCCAGTTTTTTCAAGTTAAAAAACCGTCAATACATGTACGATGTACGGACTATAATTACAATACGTGGGTGCATGGCATATCTAGTCTGGACAACAGAAGATTTGGTGCCTCAAGTTCTGAACAGTTTTTGAAGGGACCTACGTGCATATAGAAAATTTCTATGAAAACCATATATTTGCTTGGATATATCACCCATGCTGCATGCGAAGAAGCAAGACGAAAACACTACCAATTTACTGCAAACTTTCTGTTGAAACAATTGACAATGAAATTAAGGTGATGGGACCTCCAAAAGCCAGCAGACAATCGAAAATTTTGCTTGTTCAGGACCACTACGTTTTCTTCATGAATAGTGATTAGATGGTACGAAATTAGGTTAACTAAGGTCTAAAACTATCTCCAAAAGCTGAAATTATAAAAGAGAAATGCAAATTAGAGACTTTCAACTACAAACTATGACAGTTCAATATCCACGTCACGTAATTTTGATACTATAACTGACATGTACAGGATGTAAAGAGTACCTAAATATAACATGGATATTATAAAGTTTTACAAGTAATTTGTGCTCCTCTCCCACTTATTATGCAGTATTATTTTATTTTATATTATATAAAAAGGAGTTCATCTCAAACTCATTCTTTAACTTTCTTCTGCCAAATTTGAGGTTAATTTAGGTATTAAAATCATGCAATTTGGCCATAATCACTTTTTTATCCTAAATTAACCAGTAACATAGTTTGAGAGTTGAGTCGATCTCTCAGTTTCCATCCTTTCATCTCCTCTTTCCATTACTTCCAATTATGCTAAATAACAGATCCTTATTCTTTCCCATCCGTTACTTTCTATTATTTTAATATTGGAACTTTCTTCTTCCTTTCTTAAATTGCTGTCCTCTATTTCAATTGCCATATTAAAGCTTTTCTCTTTGGCCCTTGATACTACTATATGTTGTTTCTTTCAGTCTGCGTCAGCCAGCTTTTAAGGTTTCTTAATCTTGTTAGTCTCCCAAGTATTCTGTTGTTCTAAACTTAAAGGGATTTTTTCTTTGCTGATTTTTGTGGCCATCCATTTGATGTTTTCTCTGTCTTTCCATGATTAACAAGTTTAATGTTAGATTGAGGTTAACTACCTTCAGTTTATTAACGTACCTTGTTCAAACAATTTAACCGCAACTTTCTTTTTTTGTTAAATAGGTTGAAGAGGGAAGAGTTATTTTAATAGTGTTGTTACCCAAAATCTTTTGGAAAAGGTGTGTAAAATTAGTAATTTACTTTACTAATAGGTTAATTTAATTTAATTTTTTTTTTTGCTTTTCTTAATAGTAACAAAAGACTTAGTTGCTAGCCATTGGAGCCTTTTGATGCGAACTCTGACATTTGTTAGATGAAAGAGTCCGGTTACTCAGCTTCTATCGCTATGTGACCACGTACTCATAGCAATTACTACTTTTTGACGCGAGAATCAACACTTTTGGTGAAGATCCTGGTTACTCGGTAGTAAATACTAGCAGAGTACAGTCAACTCTTATTCACAGCCAAATAATACCAAAAATTCAAAATAACACAAAAATCAAAAGGAACTTTGCAGCTGCTAGCCTCATTTTTAAATATGGAGAACTAAGGTTAATAACCGGACCAATTCACATGAAAATGTCAACAGTCATTCCCTACGCCTAGGAGAGTTAACCAAAAATTATAAAAGTCACACAGTCGTCGATATTCACCACAGAGACATTCTTAGACTCAACCACATCCACTTGATACACTTCCATTACTAAAACTTGGCAATAGCAGAAATAGAGGTAACAATCCAACATCAAACTTTGGTATTCACATGAGAGCTAAGCACTAAAAAGAAAGAAAGGGACTGAACGAAAGATAGACAAATAACAAACTAGAAATAAAGGAAAAACCCCTAAAAACTAAAAACTACTAAAACTAAAACCACAACTGATCTGATCCCCCCTACACCTAAACAATACATTGCCCTCAATGTAGCAAATTAACATCACAAGTAGGGGAGAGGGTAACAAAACTTCCCTGAAGTGGGGTCAAAGTGGTGGGTGGTACCCAAATTGAAGCATAAGACTCGCATGCTGCATGAATGCTGCCAAATTCTGCGCCATGCTATGCACATTATTAATTAGACGTAATGACTAAGCAATAAGCAATGAAAGTGGCACAATAATCTTCCAAATCAATAAACAAAAGCAGAAATTACTCAACTCACGTCACTCCAATGGACTCAAGACAGAAGGCAGGAAAATAGACTCAAGTGATACCAAAAATGACCCCAACAAGGTAGCAAATAATGACAAAATGAACTCACCCCTAAAGCCCAAAAGTTGTCACCAATTAGAAAGTCCAATACATAACTCAACTAGGAGCAAATATAAGCACAAGGGTTTGGGTTTTCAAGCAAACAGCTGACCAAACACACAGGGAAGAAGCAATTCAAATAGGCAGCCCAAAACACTGATAAATCCAACTGTAATCAAAACATGCAATAGAAACTCCAAGCAAGGCACAGGGAAAGAAAATCAAACAATATACCACTTGCTAATATCCACCCAGAAACCTAAGAAAATGGCAACAACTCCAGCAGTTTAAAATCCAGAAAAATATTAGTGACGGAGGTGAACAGCCCTACCTCCACTCGTCAATTTGTTTGACAGGTGGTGATGGCGGACAGCGTCCGTAGTAGTGGCGGCGGTGATCTGGTGAGGAGTGATAAGAATATATTTTACGTATTTTTTAGTGTGTTTTATTAGTTAATTTTGGTTTGATTATTTAGTTTTATAACTAAAATAACTAAGGTTTTGGTAAAAAACTACATTTTATGTTAAAATGGCTAAACATTGCATTTTATGGATTTTTATGGTAAAAACTTCATATTTTGTAGGTTTAATGATTCAATCATCAATGAAGTATATTGAGAAGATATTTGGAGGATTGAAGATGGATTAAAGTGGTGAAAATAAAATATGAAGTGTAAAAGAAGAAATGCAATTTGAGGACAAAAATCAAGAAAAGTCAGCTTTGACAACTCAGATACATTTTTGTATTTTGACTATATCAGGAGCTACAATGATCGGATCAAGGTGATCTTGGTACCATTTTGAAGCTAAGAGATATATCTACATTTGGTATGAAGACATCAAAGTCCAATTCAGCCGTTTTCTTGGTCAAAAGGTCGAAACACAGAAACTTATCTGGATGGTCGAAAGCTGAAGCCCAGAATTGACCAGTCTATGGTATTTTGACCATATCTCCGTCCACCGATCTCCAAATTAGATGATTCTTGAAGCATTGGAACTCTAATTCAAAGGGTTACAACTTTTGTGTTTTGCACAAAAGTCAGTTCGGCCTTCATCATGGAGAAAAATGCAGTTGAAGTGAGGTCAAAAGTAAAAACGTGTCTGGCAGCCGAATTTCTGTAATTTGCTCAGCCATTTTTCTCATCTTCACACTACTTTCCAGCTAGAGTTGGAGAGAAAACGTAGGCTGCACATGCTTCAGAAGACATAAGGAAGAGATATAGCCAAGGTTCCAAGTCAAAAGCCATTATTTTTGACTCCCTTAACAAATTCAGATTTGGAGAATCATAGCAGAAATTTTTGACTGGTAAGGGAAGGACTTTTCATCAGCTTATATGCAGAGACATTTGAGGTCTAAAAAATGATACGGGAGAAGCTTGAAGAGTGCAAAAATGTAGCTTTTCCATTCTCTTATTGTTAGATTAGTTTAGTATAGAGTAGTAGTTCATCCTTCTTGTTTTATTAGCTAGGCAAAGATGAAGAA